ATCGTCTGATGCTGGAATGCTTCCCACAGACTGGAAGACGGCCCGCATTACATCCCTTTACAAAAGTGGTAGTCGTGCTCTTGCGAGAAACTACAGACCCGTCATTCTGACATCAATCCGCTGCAAAGTGATGGAGAAAACCATAAAAAAGGAGCCGATGGCTTATTTGGTGGCCCACAACCTCTTTCCAATGCACAATGCGGTTTCCGTAGGGGAAGATCATGCGTAACGTACTTGCTATATAAACTGCAATGTTGGACAATCGCACTGGACGCAAAACACACCGTGAATGTGGCTTATATTGATGTCCGGAAGGCGTTCGACAGTGTTCCGCACCAGCGTTTCCTGTACAATTTGAGGATAATGGTTAGCGGCGAAAAACTTCTCAAATGGATCGAGAACTTACTCGTCGGCCGCTCCCTAATTGCCTGCCTTGTACAGCGGCAATTAAGGCGTTCATTCATAGAGATAGGAGTCCCACAGGATTTGGTGCTCGGACCAAACCTCTTTCTCTTTTCCATCAATGATTGTGTAGATGGGTTGGACTGTGATTGTGCCATGTTTGTGGGTGACATAAGTATCTGGAAAATCATCCTCAATGCTGCCGATGAGACCAACTTCCGAAAAAATCTTTGTCGATTGGACAAGCGGTCCTGCAGATGCCTCTTGTTCTTCAATTTGGTCAAATGTACCATACTGCGCCCCGGAAATCAGACTCCCAGTACGCGGCAATACCATCGGAACGGAATACCACTTCGGGATGCAGAAACGTAGAAGGATCTCGGAGTCTGGGTTGCAGACAGCCTTAAGCCCTCTTCACAATGTGGAAGGCGGCCAAAGCCGCAACTTTAATGCCATATGCCATCAAGCGGATATTCTCAGTTTTGATGAAGACTGATTCTCCAAAATTTTTAGCCACGTTTTTTCAGGCCGCATCTCGTATATGCAATTCAGACCTGGAGATCGTGGACGCATGAGTATTACAATCTGCTCGAAAGGGTGCAGAGGCGAGCAATAAAACTAATAAGAGGTCAAAGTGCACTGGCGTAGGAGATCCGCTTGTCTAACCTTAATCTCTATCCTCTCAGTTATAGGCAGTTGTGCGGAGACATGATACAAACTTTCCGTATCGTGCGTGGCTTGGACTGCGCCCTTCGATGCGATGACTTTTTCCTACTCGCCACTACGGCTTACCTACTCGGACATCCCTTCAAGCGTCGTGTGCCCCAGGATGGATTGAATGTGAGAAAATATGTCTTCTCCAACCGTGTCGTGGAACCGTGGAATAACCTGCCCGAGACGGTTGTCATGTCTCAATCTGTGGCGACATTTAAATGTCGGCTTCACAGACATATGCTGCAGCAAGAAGCGGACTACATGACATTCTCAATCATTTATTTATGCCGATGATCTCAAATGTGTATATTCTTTTAAAAAATCTACGAGCCTTCATTGCCTGGAGCAAATCCATGCTGACTTGCTTGCTCTCTCAGCTTGGAGCTCAAAATGGCTAATGGAATTCTCTCCGTCTAAATGTCGTTATATGTGTTTTGGACCTGATAGGCTACCCCAACCTGTGGTCTTTCAAGGAACACCTATGACTGAATGTACCTCCATCAAGGATTTAGGTTTAAGCTACACTAGTAATCTTGATCTCTCGCCGCACGCTGACAGAATTACAGCCAAAGCTGCCCAGATTTGTGGCTTTATTTCTTACAATTTCTATCTTCCTGAAATTAAATTAAGGCTCTATCGTATGTTTGTACTTCCCATTCTCGAGTATTGTTGCCCATTCTTTGGTTTGATGAATGAAGCCAGTCGTTTAAAAATTGAAAATGTCCAAAGACGTTTTTCAAAAAAACTTTTAGATAGGGAACATCCCAATATCTCCTACTCAGATAG